GAGAGGCGTAGCGGAGACGGGGAACCTGGGGGATGGGGCCACGGATACGCTTGACTCGTGTTAAGCGGACGACGCCGCCACGAAGAAGCGTCACGTAGGACGCACTCCCCGTCGTTATATCCACGTGGGACGTAGCGATAGGCCACGTTCGGCCTCCGTTCAACGTCTCGCCGCGGTGCCAGGGGTGGTCGGCGGCGGAGGGCAAATTGATGGGATACAGTAGCGGTGGTGCATGCGCTGGGACGGCGCCCGCCTTCAATCGCGCTTTCACTGCCGATGCGGTCCACGACGGCGTTTGTCGGGACTCTCTCTCTCTCTCCCTCTCTCCTCGCTTCGAGTGCGTCCATCATCTGCGAGAGAACGAGACGGAGATAAAAGGTTTAGACAGATATTTATAGATATATATACAGAGAGAGAGAGAGAGAGAGACTACGAGTATATCTGTTTCTCCCTCCTCCATGTCTGTCCGACCTTACGAGATCTACGCACACGGGCGGTGAACCCAAAGATAGATAGAGATAGAGATAGAGATAGAGATAGAGAGAGAGAGAGAGAGATCCTCCTTCACGGCCTCCGGCAGGAGGACAAAACATAAAAATCATATAAAATGACTGCGGGGGCGCTTGATTGGACAATGATGGAGGGGCGGTAGTTGGCTGTGCTCGTTGAGCAGGGGATCATTACTGTCACGTAGAAAGCTCGCGGGCTCAGCTGCATGCCCGAGAGCAACTCATTGTCGACTTCCCCATTCTCCTCCTCATTGCCCTCTCTCTCTCTCTCTCTCCTCCCCCCTTTCAGCTTGCCTTGCCCTTTCCCTTCACCGTCACAGAGACAAGGGGAATCAGAGGGAGAGAGAGAAGAGAGGGGGAGGATCACCAGGGATGAACGAGAGAGGAGGAAGAGCAGGAGAAGGGCAGAAAGAGAGAAAGAGAGAGAGAGAATAAAGAGGCCCTCGTACAAATGGGCCGTTGAAGGGTGACAGGTACCATTGCAAGGCCCAATTGTATCTCCCACAGACGTGCTGGGCCGGTTGCATCGCGTCGAGCCTGTTTTACTCCTCATCAAGGGAGTGGCCCGTCGACTGTCATGCGACTAAGGTTCTACTCGTCGGGTACGTGACTCACCACGACGTATGATTTAGTTTTTAACTGACCTCAAAAGCATGAAATTTGTAAAAACACTCTTATTCTTGACGCTTCCAATTCACGTCCACTCCTATTCAGATTTATCCACTAATCAAACGCCTCACAAATGAGATAGAGAGAGATAGATAGATAGATAGAGAGAGAGAGGAAAGAGGACGCGTCTCCGTCCTCCGGCATGCGCCGGAGGACGTTCTCCTTCTCTCTCTCTCTCGGTCTCTTTCTCTCTGTAAATCTCTGAAACTGAAGCCAAAGGGCCTTTCAGAGGAGCAGAAGAGAGCAGCAGCAGCCATGGAGATGCAGGCGTTGATGGGCTACCCATTAATTCTGATCTCATAAAGCACCCACCGAACTCTACTCCACTCGAGCAACGAACCAGCTACACCACAGTGACACACAGTCCCGGTCCACTTGCCAAGAGGCCATCCTCCTCCTGCTGCTGATCAATGCGTCTCTCTCTCTCTCTCTACTCTCCCTCTCTCTCGATATGTATCTAGATAGATTTGCATGGATACATCGTCACGTGGTTGAATGAGGAGGGGGACCCTTCAACAGCATCTTCGGGATGAAGAGAGGAAGATGCAATTCAAAAGAAAATAATAGCGCAGAGAGTCGCAGGGTTCATTCACGCCCATCAGTGGACGGAGGAGATGGTCTCCTTCCGCGGGTGGAGCGGCCATGGCCGCGAGATCTTCTCCGGCGAAGCGGAGTCAGCGGCGGCGGCGGTGTGTAGTCGCCCTCCGGCCATTAATCGGCGCACGTGGCTCGGGTGGACGGCGGGGCTGCCGCAACTGAAGATCAATCCCTCTCTGTCCCCCTCCGACCTGCCCACCGGGAAAAGCGGGCTATGCCGGGACACTGCGGAGGTAGCGGGGGAGAGACTAAGACCGCAAATTACTCTCACCACCCATCGTTCTCAGTCTCTCTCTCTACTCTGCTCTCTTTCTCTCTCTAGTCGTTCAGAGAAGGCATGGCCCGGGGAAGGATTGTACCGTCAGGCCGTAGTAGTCATCCGCATCCACAGCAGGATGCCACTTGTTGTCTCTCCATGAAAGCTGGCAGTAGTGGGATCGGCTCTTAGCGGGCGCGGCGAGAGAAACAGTGTGATGTCGGCAGAGAGAGAGAGAGAGAGAGAGAGAGAGAGAGTTACCTTGGTGTCAGTGAACAGTGGTGTTATCCCGACTTGACGGCGGCCTTCTTGTCTACCTTGAGCCGCAGTAATGTAGAGGGCTGGAGGGAGATACGTAGAGAGAGAAAGAGAGAGAGAGAGAGAGAGTTGAACGAGGGGAACAGTAAAATCCAAGATAACTTCGAAGACGGGATGGGGATCAACGCTCGGAAATCAGCGCCCCGACGAGGCAGCCACGGATGGCGACGCTCCCCCGACTCCGGCCGATCTGTTCCTGGTTGATCCTGGGCAGTGGCGGCGCCGCCAGAGCGGCAGTCCGAAGGGAATCAGTCCCATGGCCGTGGAAGATCCTCAGGGCGTTCCGCCGCGATGGCAGCTGCCGACTCTCCCCGTCCTTTCGATAAGACTTCCACAGAGGCCGTCCTTGACAGAGAAACAGAATACGACGTTTCTCATCGTCGCTGACCTCCGATAAGATGTAGAGCGAGAGAGAGAGAGAGAGAGAGAGAACGCGACACTCCCCGTTCCTCTGGGCCAGCAGAGAGCTGATATCCGCACTCACCTAATAAGGATATAAATTATGCCGTCAGGAGCGCGATTAGAACAAGTACAGAGAAATGATTGGATGAAATCAATCATTCAAAATAATTACGCAAGAAATTGCGAAATGGAGGATGAGACGAGAGGCGCGCGAGGCGACAAGGGAAGTGAGAACGCATCTACTCTGTTGTCACGCGTATTAAAAAACGCGACCGGAGGCCGAGAAGATGGGACATGAGGGGAGAGAGAGAGAGAGAGAGAGAGAGAGAGAGTAGATGGGGGTCAAATCCTGAACGAGAAATTATTCAAGGATAAACTGTGGGGGACGGCATTTCTGGCTTGAAGAAGGAAGCGTACAGGTGGGCTGAGGAGTAGGACCCCAGCTGCCGGCAGTATCGTTTGACCAATAATCAATCGCTGGTACCTCCAAGGGCCCCAATTCCAGAGAGATAAAAGCGAGCCGAAGCCAGCTCGAGACAGATAACCAACATTCGTCGCTGACCACCCCCAGGGGGAGATCGAGAGAGAGAGGGAGAGCGATGGAGGGGGTCGCCGTTTGACAGCCTTTATGTCTTGGTCTCCGCCTCATCAGACACGTCATATCGCTCACTTTCATGTAGTTTGCACCATACCTTAGATTCCTCGTTCTTCCTTCTCTCTCTCTCTCTCCCTCTTCACCGTCTCGTCCTCACAAGGGATATCGACGGGCCGAGTAAACCGGCCCAACTCAGGATCGGCCCCGGCCCACTAATCTTTGTCGGCTCCCCTCCAACCCCCCTCCCCTACTGACGGCGCGAGTGACGAGTAAAATTAGGTAAATTTGACTAATCGATGAATAATAGTTCTCCTCACCGAGTCTGTGAGACAAGGAGGGAGGGTGTCTCTGCAAGGCGGTCCTACGTGGCGGATCGCCATTGGACAGAGGGGGGGGCCGATGGGGGACGTCGTAGTCAGTAGGTCAAGTTAGATAATCATCTGATTGTTGCATCTGCCAGGGGTCGGTGGGGCTCGTCACACGCGGTCTGATAACGTGGGTACGTAGCGGGCCGCTAATGGCAGTCAGCGTAGCGGGGGCTTACAGGTGGGCCCTACCCCGCCTCTCCCCCTCCGATTTCTCGGTAATATATATAAATAGATAGAGAGAGAGAGAGAGGGGAAGAGAGAGAGTGTTATTTATTTGAGGGGCTAAAGAAGTTTTTTTTTGTCAGCATATATATATTTAAATTAATATATAACGCATGGATGTTAGGGTAAAATAGGAAACTCTTGCTCCACTGAGATCCTCGGAAAGCCGGAGAAAGGAAACTGCGGCTTTCATGGAGAGAGATGACAAACGTACAACCAATTAGTCTCTTTCTCTCTCTCTCTCCCTCTCTCTCTCTTCTTGAGAGCATCTTGTGTCCCCCTCTCAAAGGCATCTATCTTTTCCCCTCCACCTTTCCGTAAGCTCGGTTAATGGGCCTGGCGGCCATCAGCTAGAGAGAGAGAGAGATTAAGCACATTTTTATTTTTTGAGGGACTTATCTAGCATAATACGCATGTTTTAGTAAGCTAAGAAAGGAAAGAAATTTTTAGTATAGTAAATATGTGATGCCACCTGCGACAAATTGTTTGGCGCTGACGTCCTTCGTACCCCACGTGCAACTGCCCCCCGCCCCCCCCTTGGAGTGAGGGTCTCTCTCTCTCTCTCTCTCTACCTCTCTCTCAGTACAGGAGACCGGAGAGAGAGATAGAGAGTTCTGACGGTGGAGCAAGCTTCGGCCTTTTTTACGGATACTAGGTTTTGGGAAGAAGGGGCGAAAGAGTAGGAGAATCTTTTCCGGTGATATATTCTCTCGTTCGCCTGTTCTACTGGCGGCCGCTCGAGGAAGGGAGGGGCTCCTCTTCCGCCGGCGGCCATGGGGGGCGAGGCCTGTGAGGAGGAGGAGCAGTGTGTGGGCATGGGGGCGGAGCTGTGGGATCTGAACGACTCGCCGGATCAGAAGGGGGAGGCGGCGGAGATGGCGACGGCGGGGTCGCCGTCGACGGAGAAGGAGGATGAGAGCGAAAATTCTGGCTCCGTGGTGGTGGTGGTGGAGGACGACGAGGCTGTCGGCGGCGGCGGCGGCGGCAGCAGCCGTTGCAGGATCTTCGGCTTTTCCTTCCACTGCGCCGGCGATATGCCGGGAGCGGCGAAGCACTCGCCGGAGGAGGAACCGCAGGCGCCTGTGACGCACCAGTTCTTTCCGGTGCCCGGCGATCGACCTGTCGGGGGAGCGGGGGGCGCTGCCACGGCCGGCTTCCCACTTCCCCCGGGCCACCTGGTGAAATTCTCTCAGGAGCCAGTTCTGGCGGCGGCGGCGGGGGGAGTGGCGATGAAGAAGAGCCGCCGTGGTCCTCGGTCACGGAGCTCGCAGTACCGCGGGGTCACCTTCTACCGGAGGACCGGCCGCTGGGAATCCCACATCTGGTTCGTCTTTCTCTCACCAGATTTGCCTCTTTCTGAGCGCCACGCCCTAAATTTCCCAGGGATTCCTGTTACTCGGAGAACATTGGTTGATTGATTGATTCTTCCCCAAATTTTCGGCGCAGGGACTGCGGCAAGCAGGTTTATCTCGGTAATTCCCCTGCGAATTCGATGGGCATTTCTCGATCTTCATCACCTCATTCCTCGCCTTGGATGATCTCGACTACGACCGGTTCCCCTTCGAGTCGGATGCTATTTTCTCAGATCCTTCCACCTTCTTAGCCATCGGCGCCCCTAAATTTGGCCTGGAAATCTTATCGAGCTTTTGTCTCTGCTTCCCCTAATCCTCCAGCGAAATGAAATCGAGGGAAATTTAGGATTAGATTTCTCTCGCTAATCTTCCCAATCGAGAAAAGTTTTGCATCATATCGGTCATTTTTTCCTCCGTTCTTCACCACTTCTGTATTCATTCGCTCTTAGAGCTGCTCTAAATGTGGGGTGGTGGCCTGATCGGAACCACCGTGTTCATCGTACTCTTGCAGGTGGCTTCGACACCGCCCACGCCGCCGCCCGGTAAGATTTCTCCGCCGCCGACGATCGATCTCGAGGGGTGTTGAATCGGATCACTCGGATGGCTGAACTCCGAGTCTTTCTCTCTCCTCTCGCTGCAGCGCCTACGACAGGGCCGCCATCAAGTTCAGGGGAGTGGACGCCGACATCAACTTCAACCTTGAAGACTACGAGGAGGATCTGCGACAGGTACAGTCGACCGCCCTCGATCGGCTTCTGACGACGAACTGAACTGCACTGTTGGGGAATCAATCCGAGTGAAAACGCCGCTCGATCGGTGACAGATGGGGAATCTCAGCAAGGAGGAGTTCGTCCACGTGCTGAGGCGACAGAGCACGGGCTTCCCCCGGGGGAGCTCCAAGTTCCGCGGCGTCACCCTTCACAAATGTGGGAAGTGGGAGGCGAGGATGGGCCAGTTCTTGGGGAAGAAGTAAGAAACAGCAGAAAACAACTCTCCCTTGGTTCTTCGGATTCCTCTGATTTTCCTGCATTGATTTCCCCTCGCTCCTCTGGATCCCCCTTCAACAGGTACGTATATCTGGGCCTCTTCGACACGGAGGTGGAGGCCGCGAGGTACCTTCCCTCCTCCATTTTTCTCTCTTTCCTCTTCCACCAATCTTCGTCCTCTGCAAGACTTGCCAACTGGTTTTGCGCAGGGCCTACGACAAGGCGGCGATCAAGTGCAATGGCAGGGACGCCGTCACCAACTTTGACCTGTCTTCCTACGAGAATGAGCTCAGTTCCGCGGGTCAACTTTTATTCCAATCGTTTTCTTCCTTTTTTGTTTTTTTTTCCTTCCAAAATCTGATCTTTTTGATCCTTCCTGCATTCGCGATTGATGTCTGCAGTCGGGGGGGAAGTCAACGATCTCGATCTCAGTCTGGGCGGCTCCGGCTCCAAGAGCAGCAGCAGTCTTTCGGAGGCGGATAATGGAGTCAGCGGCAGGGGGCCGACGACGAAGGTGGGCAGCACTTTGCCCAGATTTCTCTGCCTCCAAGAGGAAAGCTTTTGACGTCTTCGTGGTCTTACTAGATCTCTCTTTGCTATCTCCAGCATGAGCACGGCACAGGCTACTACTACTACGGCGAGCCGCCGCCGCCGCTGAATCAGTTCATCCTCCGGCCCTTCGGTCCCTCGGGCTTCCCTCAGGTGGGGGCGCCGCCGGTGTGGGGCAGCGATCAGCAGCTGCAGCGTGGCCTGCAGGTGGCGGGCTACGGCGGCGCCGGCGGCGGTTCGCCTCAGCTGCTCGCCGCCCTTCTGCAGCATCATCAGGATTCCCGCAGCAGATCGTAAGACCTTTTTAGGCCCCGCTGCAGAAGAAAGAATGGCTCTTTGATCACCATTCGATGGAGCCCATTTGACCCACCACCACCACCACCACCACCGCCGCCGCCGCCGCCGCCGCCGTTCTTCCTCTTCTTCCCTCGCTGTGAGGCGTCTGCATCGACGCCATTAATTCCTCGCCCAGTTGTGCTCTTGCCTGGCCCCTCCCCCCCACCCACCCGTGGAGCCACTTCCGTCTGCACGAAGAAAAAGGCCCCAAGATAGAGGATCCGGCGTGGCCCTTCCTCCGCTCGCCTCTTCTCCTCCCAGCACTCTGTGGACCGGCCGATCTTTTGACCTCTGATACTCTTACTGTTCGCTGGTTGGCTCTGCGACTCACAGGAATCTAGTGAGAGAGAGAGAGTAGAGAGAGGAGTGGTAGCTGATGTCAGAGAGAGAGAGCCCCTTCCTTTAGGTCGGCGCCATGAAGGAAGGGGTTGGTAGTGTGAGCTGGTCCCTCTGCTGGCTTCTTGGGCTTTCTGCATTGAAAGCGGGGCGGGCGGCTTTCTCCTCTGCTTTCGTGGCATCTGTGGCCTTCACTTTCTTCTTCGGGGAGATGGCGGTGAACAGTGAGTGAGTCAGTGGGAGAGAGAAGATATTTGCAGAGATAAGTGGAGGTTGAAGTCGCAGAGGGAGAGGTAGTTGCACAGGTGAATAGGCGTTGAGATTGTGGGGAGATGGAGATGGGAGCTGGTTGCACAAATAGATAAGCGTTCAAGTCGTGTAGAGAGAGAGAGACAAGGAAGATAGTCGTGCAGCTGATGGACAAAAATGGTTGTGGAGAGAGAGATGGGAGATATTTGCCCCGATAAATGGGCTTCTAAGACGAGGCGGACAGAGAGAGAGAGAAGGGGGGGGGGGACATGTTTGCTGATTTACTTGGTCACATGTGTATAAAGAGAGAGAGAGAGAGAGAGAGAGAGAGAGAGAGGGTAAATATGCAGTTATATGCTGGCGAGAGAGATAAATCCATCGATAAGTGAACCTTGAAGTCATGGAGAGAGAGAGAGTGGTATGTGCACTGATCAAGAGCTAAGGGGAGGGGAGAGAGAGAGAGAGAGAGAAAGAGGGGAATCCAGCCACAGAAAAGGGTGAGAAGAGGACAAACGAACCCCACAACCTGCTGCCGTCGTTCTCCCTCGGCAGTCACTTTCAGAGACAACGAGAGGACGCAGAGAGAGGACAAGGACGACCGACCCGCCCTCCCGCCGGATCTTATCGGAATATCTCCCCGTCGGGGACCACATTTGTAAATAAATCTCACGCCGCCACGTGGGATTTATTTATTTTTCTTATCCTAATTCAATGATTTCTTCATTCGTTAAAATAAAAAAAATAAAAAAAAACAGGATCCTCTTAAAATGAATGGCTGTACAAAATGTTTATATTTATATTTATTTTACGGTGGAGTCTCGAGGGGGTTGGAAGCTCTCCGCACGTGCGTCGCCCGAACCAGGACCCACGGTCCATGCACGTGCCACACGCGTGATCCCATTGAAGTTCCTGCGGGAAGTAAAGATAGTTTAATGGGTCGAAGTGGCCCAGTTAGGGTTTTCTCTGTTGGCCAAGAAAGCAGCTCGGGCCCAGCTCGATGGCCCCCAATCACCTCCACCTCTACCATTTCCGACTGACCATGAGACACCGAGACAGCAGGAGTGACAGAGAGAGAGAGAGAGAGAGAGATTAAGTTCCTAGGTTAGATTAAGTTCCAGCACACTTCTCAGGAGCTGCCGACACCTCTGACGGACTGCAATTAATTATCTGATAAAGAATATCCGCAAACTATTAGTTTACGCACGACTAAAGAGGGAAGATAGTATACGTTGATCCCAAGGTAGCAGGTTGACCACCCAGCAGCGTGAGGGGACCGGGGGGGCGGCGGTGAGTTGACCCTTCAAGACTCTTCTTACTTGCACTGTTGTCATGATCCAGACAACAAAGCTAGAAACCGAATCATCACAACAGTTTCCAAGAAGCTATGCCTCTGAAGAATAGAGCTCTGCTCGTTCTAATGGCTATAATGGAACCGCTGCAAGTAGCAGGATCTCAAAGGGAGTGCTTCGCCTGCTTGTAGAGAAAACGCTGACTTCGCGGCTAGTAAGAGGATAGGAACCAATCTGTGGTCTGACTTCCACGTAGGAGAATCCTTCCACACAAATATGGGCATAGGGAAAACGCCTAAGAATTGGTCTATTCAACTATCTGAATATCTCCGCTGATATTTATCATTTCTTCTTAAGTGGAGGCAAGCATCATGATTAAGCTTCATCGCGGTGGTAAAATGAAATGATTTCCAGAATTATTGAGGGAGACGATCATCTTCAACCCTCATCTTACATCAACTGGCGTGTGGTCATCATCATATTTGATGTTAATGACTTGTTTCTCAGGTAGATGATTCAAGAAACCAAAACCAGGCAACTGGAAATATGCACAAATGATTTCCTAAGTTCAACGATATAGGTTCATACGTTTTAAACATTATAGTTTACATTATTTTCCTAGAAAGTAGGGTGGATTTATGTGTGTCTAGACGTTTATTAAAAAAATATGAGAATGAATATTGATCATTATCTTTGAACCAGCCTTGTACTTTTGTGAATGGACCCAGTTTATGCAAATAAACATAGTATGGCAGGATTATTTTCTTGCATTTGGAATAATAATGTTGTACCATCATTATTTGCATAACCTGGGCTCATTCATAAACAAACGTACAAGGTTCGTTGGAAGTTAATGATACAGCATTCATTCTCATATTTCTCTAGTCAGAGTCCAAAGTACAGAATGATTGTACTTACCAAATATAGAATGTTGTTCCATCTTGCTCCTTCAGGTGATAATAAATAATAGACTAGACACAGGTAGGTCAGGATTATTTTCTTTCATTTGTTAAAAGAATATCCCAAAAACTGAAGCGCAAGTAAATTTTATTTTCTTCTGGTTGAATACCCTGTTGACGGATCATTATTAACACTGATTTTGCCCTGATCAGTGAAGAATTTTCGTTCGCAGTTAGTTCTGCCTCTCTTCACCTACAAATGGCATCAAAATGCCTTGCGCTAAGACAGAATAGGAAATGACAAGGAGGTCTGTCATCACATGCCATCATCCTCTAGTCTATGAGACAAATCATACTTAATTATTCACTGATCTCTCTTCCCTCCGGCGTAGTCGATGTATAAATCAAGCAATTACCAAGAAAAAAGGGGCAGGAAAACCGGCAGGGACGAATGGGAGAGGGGGAAAGAGGGAGACGCAGACAACTGAGTTTTGCGTGAGACGTTGCTGAGGCAGTCGGACTCCGAAGTACCCGGGTAGATCATTGGATCTAATCCTGTTTAGCTACAGAGAGCCCGGAATACCGGCGCTGCGGGGTCGATGCTGGCTTCGCTACTTGAGGTGCCCAGCTGGCTTCGTAGCTGTGGCACCACTGAGGCGAGCGCGACCCCACGAGGGCGTTTTGGAGGTCAGAGATAATAATTGGGGACGAGGACAGCGCCAAGAGAAGTGAGAGAACCGTTGCCGGGGCCACTCGGGCATCTGTTTGCACCACCAGGAGGAGCTGTGTAATCTCCCGTCCATTTGCGGTTAGTTGGGGTCTAGGGATGGTACCGTGTCTCTTTCGCACGTAGCAACGGGGTAAGACCGGCAACCGCAGAGTCATGTTTCTTGGAATCTAACGATTTGGAGTTTGATTTCGCCATGGAGTTTCGGCGGTCAACGAAGACTGAATCTGGGGGATCACGGAAGTCAAGGGAATTACTGCACAACCCAATAATCTTTTGACTTTGAAAAGGGTTGACCCGAGAAACTGGGGGGCCGAACAGATGTTCTCTGTCTTCTATGTTTGAACCATAAAAATCAAAACTTGACAGGATGTGTCTTGTCTTAACGGTTGCCTTATCGTAACAAAAGAAGCTTTACCCGTTTAAGCTAAGGGATTTCCTTTGCGATAGACAACAGAAACTGGGGAGCCGTACCCTTGAAAGTCCTTGAGGATCGTTCATTCCAATTTATTTTCAGGAGATTTTCAAAAGCGCCGGAATATGATATTTTAAGATTTTTTCTACTTTTGGTCTCAATTAAAGTGCCTATCTGTTGAAATATGCCCCATGAAATTTATGAAATGAGGAATGGTCCTATGAAACATGCTCGAATCTAACAAAGCTTTTCTAGTTCGCACAGTCACCACCAGTAACGGATGTCAGCGAGAAGCACAGCCACAAAAAAGCTTATCACTCATTGCTTTTGGCGTCCATAACTGATGATCAGCCTTCTCTACTGGAGAATCGGTAGTGGGTAAAATCTTTGCTGTACTGTGTACTCAAATCACCAGTTATTCCCATATATTATACCCAACCTCGGCCGGTGCATGCACATGGAAAAATTGCGAATCTGTGATCGGGTTTGTGTGACTGTACTAAACGGAGACAGGCTGAAAAGAAAGTGAGAGAATGGAGGCCTTCCCTTGCTGCAGCGTGTACAGGTGGGAGAATCTTCTGTTGGTATTTGAAACATCATGCGATGGTTGGAAGCTTGGGACAAGCTTACCAGTGTTCGAAAAATCCTGGAGAAATAGTGTCGGCGAATTCTCATACTATCGATCTGCATGGTCTGAGAGGTTAGCATGAAAAATTAGTATGGGCAGGTCAGTGCTGGTTGAGAACATGGTCACCTGTGATAGCTCTTAAATACCAGATGTCGCCTGCGCTAGACTGAACTCTTAGACTCAAACGGGGACTGTCGTGCTGGATGGCATCCCTGGCTTCTAAGAACGGAGAAACATGACATGAAAAGGAATTCCGCTAATCGATGATGTCCAAGAATTTGTATCATTCCATGATGTTCCTTCGGAAACAGATGATATCCAAATGTCTTCCAATCTTTCCAAACGAAATCTGCGGCTGTACGTTTTTTTCTGGGAGGAAAATTACGAGTAAAAATTGAGAGCTATAATGAAACAATTTGTCGCACACTGTTGAACCAATAATCAGCTGGATCGAAAAGTATGAACAAGAAAAGCTTTCAGTTTTTCTCTTGTCCATTGCTGTCAAGAAGCTATAGTTTATTTTGAGGTCCCATTGGAATTACGTTCTTCGAACATGTGAAAAGAAAAATCCCAGTGGGTACCGATATCATGTTGATTAAAACCCTGTAAGGTTAATACTACATCTACCGCATTATCGACATGACCTTCCTTTACACAGTTCCCAGACAAAATGGCGACCGAGCAACGAAGATCTGCTTGGAAATTTATGTCAAGAATAGAGAGTAAGTTGTCATGAAGAAACTTCCGGTGGATTAGGGACTTTCACATGAAAATTTGTCAAATTATTTTGACTACCTC